GGCCGAGGCGGCCGCCGCGGCCGCTGCCATGTAGGTGTAGGGGTAGGGGAAGAGTCCGCCGAAGGTGGGCATCGGGATTCCCTGTGGAGAGAGAGAGAAAGAGGGGTGAGAACCATGCCAAGGCTCTGCTGCATCCCCCTTCCTGCCTGCCTGCCCCCGCCCCCCAAGCCCGTTCCCCCGAGAAAGCCAAGGCAAAGCTGGGACGCCCCAGTATTGGGCTAAAAATGCAGCGTGGGGATATCCCTGGGGGTTGGGCAGAGGGAGGGGGTGCAGCTGGGGAGCCCCCTCCACCCCGCACCGCCCCAGGCTGGTGCCACCGGGCACAAATCCCTCTCTGGGACCTGCCCAGGGGTACAGCGCTGTGGGGCTGTGCCCCGGCTCTGCCCTTGTGTGCTGCGTGTCCCCGTCTGTGCAGCATCACAGACCTTTAACCACATTAAAACACACTGTTAAGTAGAACCGATAAATTAGGGGAGTTCAAAGACATCTTTATGTGTTTCATCATAGGGGCTGGGAAAGGCAACACAAGCGCAGGCGTTGGCGGGAGATGTTTCGGGGCTGGCAGGGAGAGGGGGGGCTACTGGATGAGGACAGCCAGGTCAGGTGGGGCCACAGCTCCTGACTCTACCCCTGCCCATGGGGGAACCATATCATCCACAAAAAATCAAGATTCCTCCTCTAAATCAGCCCTGAGGCCAACCTTCGAAATGTCCCCCGCGTCCTGCCTGTGCCTCACCAGGCAGCACGCTGAGGGTTGAGGGGAGCATCACCCCCTTGTCCCCACGGGCTGCAGGGTCATGGGGGAGGCTGGGGGCACCAACAGCTCCTGACCCCATGAGAGCTGCACTGGGGCCACCCTGTGTGTCCTGACAGTGAGGGTGACACCAGCTGGGCCTGCCCTGTGCCTCCAAAGCACTCTGGTCATCCAGGGAAGGACACGGAGAGGAGGGCCCAGGGCCTGGCCGCACAGCGGGGATGGGGACGCGGGGTGGGCGCGGGGCCTTACCTGAGAGGCCAGCATGTGCTGGGAGAGGTGAAAAGGGAAGGGGGTGGCTGTCCCTGCCGCACCCGGGGCGGACGAGAGGGCTCCATTCTCCAGGCTGCCTCCACCGGTCACCGAGGCCAGCAAGTGTCCCATGCCCATGGCGGAGAAGGCGCCGGGGGCCATGGCGAACTGTCCCGGGTGGATGAAGAGGGGCTGCCCAGCGCCAAGGGGGCTGAAGAACTGCTGCCCATGGAGGCCGGAGAGCGCCAGGCTCTGCAGGTGCCCGGCGCTCAGGTGCGGGGGGCTGTCCGTGTGCACCATCAGCGGGGCGAAGGCCTCCTTGCCCAGCCCGCCGCCCTCCGCGTCCTTCTTGCTCGGGTCCGGCTCTTTCCTCCGTCCTTCCACCTTGTCCTTCTCCAGGCCCCGTGTACCAAACAGGCCCTCGCCGGGAGCCTCCCGGGGGGACGCACCATCCTTGGCCTTCTCCGGGCTGCGCCTCTCCTTGCTCCGCTCCTCCGGGCACCGGGGGCTGCCACGGGGCGTCGCGTCCTCCCCGCTGGGGCTGGCCGCTGCCACCGGCCGCTCCTCGGGCGCCTTCTCCACCTCCGCGTCGCTGTCGGCCCCCGGCTTCTCCTCTGCAAGGGGGTGGAGGGGCAGAGGGTCAAGAGCAGAAGCACCCAAGGGAGGCGAGGGGCAGGTCACACGCGAGGGCCCTGGCGTCGGGGCGAGACTGCGGCGGGAAAGTCCCGATCGTTATTAATGGGAGAAATTAATTTCGGGGGCAGAAATGGGCCCTCGTGCCGCGGTCGCTCTGGGGAAAGGGGATTAACAACAGCAGCCCTGTTGCTCTGCCAAACAGGAAAAACATGTTTGATGGAGGACCAAAATCTATTACGGCATCGCTCTCGTTAGCTGCAAATTCAAAGCGGGCTGCGGAGCAGGGGGTGAAGAGAGGGCGGGTGGGTGGACAGCGCTGGAGGAAATGGTCCTGTATATATTTAATTACGTGGAGCTGATCAACGGCGCGCTGTGGATTTATTCCAAATGTGCAGGTTGAGGCAGGTTAAAAAGGCAGTTTTAAGGCAAGAGGTATGATACAGACTTTCCTAAAAGAGGCTTTAATTAAAAAAACAAAACAAAACAACAAAACAAAACCCAAACCCAAACACATCGAGCTCTTAGAGGAGGAAGGGGGACGAGAGGCGAGGGGATGGTGAGGGGTGAGGGGAGCAGAGCCCCTGCCCAACCGGCTCCTCCTAAACGAAAAAAACATTTTGGTGCGGGTTAGGTGAAGCTCTGCAGGCTGGGGCAAATATTCGGGGAAGCCTTTGAAAGAGGAGAGGGGTGTAATAAACCCTCCCACCAGCTCGGGG